ACGCCTTCCCCCCCCCCCCCCCGCAACCTTTCTAGAGTTTAAGTATAGTCAATATAAAAAGTGGAGAAACATTAAAAGGCGTAGCGAGGGTGGGGCAGACACGCCCCAGGCAGCTTTTTTTACGAGAGGCGCCGCTGTTTATATCATTGAATAATAACTAAATTTTGTATTGCTTTTGCAGTATCCATTTTTAGCAGAAAATTTTACAAATATTGCCTTGGCTATTTTGTTCATAAATTAGACATGTAATTTTAAGCCTAATTTACTTAACAAAGTGCACCAACGAGAAGGTAAGCCATAGGACTTTGCACTTCATCTGTATACTTTCATTTTGCCCAAGGTTAGCCCTCCATTTCTGGATTCTTTCCTTTTCTTGAGAGGCACGTAGTGTAAAGTAATGTTGCCTAAGATTAGCCCTCCATTTCTGGATTCTTTCATTTCTTGATAGGCACGTCATGTAAAGTAATATTAGGTTATTTATTAAGGTTAAGTAATATTAGGTTAAGTAACTAGAAATATAATAATAAAGGTTAGTCCTCCATTTCTGGATTTTATCTTTATTTTATTTTATATTATTAATCTTACATTATATTATATTATTAATCTTGCCTAAGGTTAGCCCTCCATATCTGGATTCTTTTTTTTTTTTAATTTTAAACTGTTTTTTGTTATAATAATTTTTGTTATATTTTTTTATTAAAGTTCTATATTTTATATATATATATATATATATATATATATATATATATATATATATATATATATATATATATATATATATATATATATATATATATATATATATATATATATATATATATATATATAAATATACATATATACATATATATATATATTATATATATATATATATATATATATATATATATATATATATATATATATATATATATATATATATATATATATAAATATACATATATACATATATATATATATATATATATATATATATATATATATATATATATTTATATATATATATATATACATATATATATGTAATATATAATATATATAATATATTTATATTATATATATAATATATATATATACATACATATATATATATATATATATATATATATATATATATATATATATATATATATATATATATATATATATATATAAATATACATATATACATATATATATATATATATATATATATATATATATATATATATATATATATATATATATATATATATATTTATATATATATATATATATATATATATACATATATATACATATATATATGTAATATATAATATATATAATATATTTATATTATATATATAATATATATATATACATACATATATATATATATATATATATATATATATATATATATATATATATATATATACACCTTGTACAGAAAGTTTAAACGCACTTGTTTTTTTAACTTATATAATACTTTTAAGAAATGATAACCCGATAAACTAATGAGATATGCTCTGTATTTTTATGTTTATTTATACTATGGCTATAAATTATTAGTTTAGATAGAAAAAAAATTGTATGGATATTATAACGGAGGTGGAGAGTGATGAGAAAATTAACGGAGTAATTAACTCCTTTTAATTTTTTGAAATAAAATTTAAACGCACATTGATAAGAAAACGCGTAAAACTCGTTTATTGAGAGATTTTTTATTGAAGTCTTTTACATTTTTGTCACTCAACAGCCTGTTAACGTTAGTATATTACATTTGGATTCTTAATCTTATTTTATTTTGAATAAAAACCACAAATACGATTTGATTTAAAATATATCAATTTTCAACTGATACAGCTTTGTCAAAATATCATATTTTGGCGGACTTGTACACGACGCACCCCCTATGAAATATTAATAATCGTGACCAAAACTGTCCCAATTCTTACGTTCAAATAATAAATGTATATTTCGTTGTGTTAATCCCTATTTATTAGTCAAAGCATTTACATTTAATTCTATTCATCACTTATGATCAATTGAGGTAATTACACTTTAAATAATTAAATTAATTAATTTTACTTGGTCAGTAAAATAGCATTTTCGATAAAACGTGTTTTAATTTTAAGGGGGTGCGTCGTATACAAGTCCGCCCATATTTTAATGGGTAAAAAAACTGTTTCGTCGAAAACAAAATGGCAAGTCATAGGAATGCATAAAATGAAAATATTCGTACAACAATAAAAAATTATTTATCAACTGGTAGTGTCGATGATAATCCTCGTACTGGGCGTCCGAAAAAACTGACAGCACGCGATGAAAACATGCTTTACATGCTAAGTAAAAATTTTACGCCGGTAAAAGTTTTATAACATTGAATAATAAAACATTTTATATATAATTTTGTGTGTGTGTGTATATATGTTTTTTCATTGAATGAAAAAACATATATACACACACACACACAAAATTAGTAAAAATAAAATTAGAAATAAGAAAAAAGTAAAATAAAAGTTAGTACACTACTAAATAAAAGCTAAGTTTAAACGTCTTTCACCTGACTTTGAAAAAATGTCAATGACTCTTTTAACATCCGGAAAAATTTCTTGATGTTAATGCTAAAGAGTTAAAGCGAGACTCAATCATATTACTTCTGGGGTCAATGTTATAAAACTTTTTATCGGCGTAAAAGGCTACCGGCGGAATTTTTACAGCCGTAAATTTAGAGACGTAAAATGTTTTTTCATTCAATGTTATAAAACTTTTACCGGCGTAAAATTTTGAAGATATCTATGCTCTGAATTTATTTTCGGAAATCTACTTTCCGAATCAATAACATAAAAGGTTGTCAAAAACAAAATGTTTTTGAGTTGAAAACATCAAAGCTAACAAAAATTAACAGTTTCTTATGGATTCGGACTTAGACTGTTTTGATTCTGATAAAGAATATTTTGTTGCTTTAGAATATTTGGCAAATCAGAGACAACCACGAGAAGTAAATCTGTTCAAACAGTATTTAAACTGTTAAGAATACAATTTAAAAGTAAAAAAAATGGAATTGTCTTTAATTTTTTACCCTACCCTATAAAAAAATTTGTAGAGCTTTTCTATAAAAATAACTTATACTATTTTTTATATAGAGGTTTCTTTAGACCAGAGTTGTTAACTGACCTTGATCTTGCCTTAAGACCAAAAACTGAGGCCTTGGCCTTGAAACTTTTGGCGTTGGCCTTGAAGTTTTTGGCCTTCACCTTGTTTGTTTTGGCCTTGGTCTTTATAATAAAATGCATAAAATTAAAGAATTAAAAGTTTTTATTCTTTTTTTTTTTACGTAATTAATTAGGTAATTAATCAATCTTTATTTTGTAAAATTGTGTTGATATAAATATAAAAAATCTATACACATTTTATATTATAAAATCTATACAAATAGAAATACATATTATACAATCTATACACATAGAAAATCTATACACACAGAAAAAATTGCATTAATAAACTTTTTTAAAAAATAACTTTAAATATCAAAATAATTAAAAGAATTATTCACTAACTCAAATTCTTATAACAAAAATTTATTTAGACACAAATAAACATTTAAACATAAAACTCTTTTGATGCTTTCTGATTAGAATTTTATCCACAATAAGTTTTGACGTGCTTCCATACCATAGACAATATGAGAAACTTTGGAAACAAGTTGTACATAATGTCTAAACACTTTCTGAATAAGAAGAAAAATCTTTGATGTATTTTGTTATCTGACTTTATCAAAAATATTTGAGCCAACATCGAAGTGGTTCAATTAATTTTTAAATATCAAGTATACATTTTCATGAGCTCATACCATTCGAGCCTCAATACCATATTCGAGCATCAAAGGTAATTTCTAGAACTTTAATAATTCTGTTTATAATTTGACCACTTATTTTACTATTTCGAATTTCAAATAACCTCAGCATAAATTTTAAATAGAGAAATTTCTTTTGCCTGTCCATTTTGAATATGTCTAATACTAAAGTTGATTTGATTTTTGGATCAATAAATAGTCCTAATAAACCTAGCATAAGTGCATTTTAATTAGCTCAATAACAAACTTTGGAAACACTTTAAATTCCTGATGACTTTTTTTCAGGTTTTAATGTCTAAAAGAAAATTTGTAAAGTTATTCTAAAAAGTTAAATTTGTTTATTAACTTTCATTCATGAAAACTTATATACATATATATATATGTATATATATATATATATATATATATATATATATATATATTATATATATATATATATATATTTCGCTCTCTTTCTTTCTTTCTCTCAATCTCTCTCTCTTTATATATATATATATATATATATATATATATATATATATATATATATATATATATATATTATATATATATATATATATATATATATATATATATATATATACACACACATATATATATATATATATATATATATATATATATATATATATATATATATATATATATATATATATATATACATACACATAGACATATATATAAATATATTTATATATATAGGGCTTGTGACGAATAAAATCGTCAAGCGTGTTATATCGCGCTCGTAAAATTAAAATATGTTTTCATCGAGCGTGATTATGTGCGCTCGAGATAACGTCGACGAGCGCGATCATGAAAATTGCTGAAGAAGATCTTTTTTTATTTGTTACATCATTTTTTCATCGACAAATGTTATAATTAGTATCACACTCATGAATTAACACTCTTGTATATTGTCAGATCGGGATTTTTTTTTAACTATTTATGTTATAAAAAAATATATATATCAAACAAAAACGCAACTTCTTGTTGATTTAGTATTGAAGTATAATTTAGTGACTTTTTTATAATTTAGTGCCTTTTTTTGTTTCGTTGTTTTGATATATGTATTTAAAAATAGTTTTTATATTTCTTGATATTTTTTATTCAAATTAATTTATTTCTAAAATTTTTTTTTTAAATTACGATTTTTTTATCTTAAAAAAATAACACAAGAAAGTTTGAAAATCTTTTTTTTTTTAAACTATTCATTATAGGTTAAATAACAGATTTTCCCCTCAACTGTTGTCAACGGTGTTTCCTCTTCTACATTTTCGAAACTGAATGCAGCTAATTCGTCACTCATATCTGGTAACTTCAGTTCTAAAGCCTATTACCTCTTGAACTTTCCATTTAATAAATGTTGACAACATTACTTTGTTTCCTTTTGGAATGTCATTGATTGCGGACATTCTAAACAACAGAATCGTTTTAAATTTGAGTTAAAATAAATAATAGTTAATAAAAAACTTATACTATAAACAAAAACTAATTTAAAAAATTACTAAATCATTATTATTTATTTTTATTATAAAACGATGTATGGAATATTACAAACAATAAATCAAATAAATCTTACTTGATGTTTTCACAAGATTAAAAATATTCTGCAGTTTCAATTTTCTTATAATGGTTTACTAATTTTTTATTATTTTATTTGTGCATTTTTGTATTTGCATTGAATTTCTACATGCACATTCCATCAATGAAATTAGTGCTTATTAACGACTTCAAACTGCTCATTCATTAGGTTAGTGCAAAAAAGAACGACGTAGTGCTTTTTTTATTTTATATTATATTAGTGCTTCGATAATATAAAATCTTTATTAAAAATCTTTTTTTCATATTTTATGAAAATAAAAAAAAAAGTTATTATATTTTTTGCCCCGAACGTTATTTTATACGCTCGTTACAGGTAGATGCACCCCAAAAACCAAGGCACCTCAAAAACAACGCGGTCAGTTAAAAGGCTCTAAAAATTTAAATATGCATTTTAAAACCATATGAGAAATTTTTTCTCATAAAGGAATGTTTCAGCAACAATTAAAACAAAAGAAATCAATATTAACAATAAAGGAGTTTTTTTTACAACCGTTTTAAACTTAAAAAGTGCTGAGAAAAATAATTGAGTTTTAAGTAATATTGCTATAAAATATTGGTTTTTTAGACTAAGTTTGCAAATCCCATCTAGTTTGCTTATCTTTTATATGCTATTTACATAAATCAAACCATTTTTATTATAAGTAGAAGGGAAACTTGTAAAAAAAAGTTTAAAAATTACATTTTAACATGCGGTTTTTGGGGTGCGCTAAGAAAAAGTTAAAAAAAAAGTTTATCCAGAAATTTTTGGTTGTCATAAAACCAGGTATTTCTTCCAGCTGAATGCTCTTTTCATGAAGTTCATCAATCAACTCCATCGCTTGTTCAAATTTTGATTTCCAATAATTTGCTGAACCACGTCTTTTATCCGGCGAAGAAATTAGTGGAGAAGTCTGTTTTTCTGGTTCAATACAGTTTTCTGCTCGTTCGAATTTGTCTTTTTGCATAAAATCAACACTCAATGCATTTTCGGCAACACCAACCCTTTTAGCAGATTTTACAAGCGTTTCTTTGGTTGTCCACTTGTCCCATATATTAGCTAAAACTAACATAAAAGCTTCTTTGTTTAAGGAACAGATATCAGAAAACATAGAGTCTTTTTGCTTACGATACTCACTATGAATGTTCTTGTTTACTTGGTCAAGAAGTTGAGTAACTCCTGTTGTGTCTGGTGGAGTAAGAAAAAGATGAATTCTTTTGGACTCCAAAAAAGATAATACATCAAAGTCTAGTCTAGAGCTATGTCCATCTGATAATAAGACAATGGGTCGCTTAACATTTTTTTCATTTAAGTAGACATCAAACTCTTTCAATGCTGCCAAGAAAGATTCATGGGTTGATACTCCATTATCTGTAGTTGTGACCAACAAATGGGGAATTTTATTTACTGCTTCTGTTGGAACCATAGAACTAGTAATACCAGTACATTTAAATATTACCTGACACATACATATGTCGCCTAAAAATAAAAAATAAAAAAGTTTTTTAATGCTTGTATTTATTTATATTCAATTTTTTCTTGAACCATAACATATTATGGCATACCTGAAAATGAAACAAATGGTTGAACTGTGACACATTCTCTGTTTTCTCTATACATTCTTTGACATGCATCTCCTTTGCCAGCATAAAATAATCCAGAAGTGGTACCATCAATTCCATAATTAATAAACTGGGGTGTTTCATCACAATTAAATATTCGGCATGTATCAACAGTGCCATTCCAAACCCCTGTTTCAATCATTTTTTCATTTATCATAATACCAACATCTACTAGTTCTTTAGCAAGGGAATCTGAAATAATGTTATTATAGGGAAATGAACAAATTAAAAAAAAAAGTACATTCAGATTTATGAATATATATTTGTTCATTAATAACTTACCTAAATGATTACATGCCATTTCTCTTGAACAATTAAGTGCACGGTTTATCGAGACACTCCCTTGGCGTTTGATTGTAAGGCTGCTATGTTTAGCATTAAAACGAAGCCAAAATGATTGACTCAATCTATAAAATGGAATATTTACATAAAGAAAAGAGTCATATTACCCGTCTTACATACTTTTATAGGATCATTGTAGATTAAATGAATTCAATTAAACTTACTTTCCCTTTTCTAGAGCAGCTCGAGCATTTAATGATAACTTTTGAAACTTCCGTCCACCTTTCATTTTTGTATTAGTGTAATCTCTCACACGAAGCACATTAATAATTAATTTGGTTATGTCCTGTTTGTTAATTGCCTGTAAACATCTGTTCTTATTTTTTATAAAACGCACAATAGATGCTTCTTCATCATCTGTAAGTATAGTACAATAATCTCTTTCTTTTCCATTAATCACTTTTCCATCTAATCGCCTGTTGATTGTCTCTATATCTTTAATAAAGGGAAACAAACCTGTCTTTAATGCTGCTTGTCCCCTTCCATTAAATTTTTTGCACCAATTTATTGCAGCTTCTAACTGTTTATTTTTATCATTTGTGTGTTTTCTGGCCACTATGGCATCAGCTTTAGTACTGAGATTTCTTGATTTGTTTATACGTAGATGTAATGCAGATGATGGTTTCATTTTACTTTATAATATTATATTAAACAAAATTCTAAAACAACAAAAAACATAACATAGTTCAATGGTAGTATTTCCACAATACATTAACTTTTTTTTTTTTTTTATGATGATAAAGAGCTACTATCTAAAATTTATCCTAAAATTTTTTTATTGAATTATTTTATATATTTTCTAAAATATTCAAATAACCAACGTGGTTTTTGGGGTGCACATGATGTGGTTTTTGTGGTACATTGAAGTACATCCTAAAAATTTAAGTTAGCAATGATACAATCATCCTAAGACTAATTTATTATAACTATCTTCTACAAAAAATCAGGTCTTAATTCCAAATAGTTTAGATTTTATAGCCAATTTTGTCAATGTTGTTTTTGGGGTGCATGAAAAAAAGTGTGGTTAACTTCAACATTCTAGAAAAAGAACTCAAGCGAGACTTAAAAAACCATACCTACCAGGAAGAACCCTATTTAGGCTTATCTTTCAGAACCCATATTAACAAAATTATGATCTGTCCCTAGAAAATAAATCTAGACCCTCCTACTTTCGCGTGGCTTTTGGGGTGCAACCACCTGTATAAGCTTGTTTATCGCGCCTGGAACATTTCAAAATACCATTAACGGGCGCGTTTCACGAGCGGAGCGCGATTTTTTGAAAGCGAAAATTTGAAATTTAATGAAAAATAATAAGGCAAAAGCAATTTTATTCATTTATGTATATATATATATATATATATATATATATATATATATATATATATATATATATATATATATATATATATATATATATATATATATAAATGAATAAAATTGCTTTTGCCTTATTATTTTTCATTAAATTTCAAATTTTCAGTGATCAAAGTAAATTAAATCAAATATATTCTGAATAAAGTTGACACATCAAGGTTATTTACAAATAGTAACCTGTAAAATTTAATACTAATAAATGATGCTAATATTATATATACATACACATACACATATTTATAAATATATATATATATATATATATATATATATATATATATATATATATATATATATATATATATATATATATATATATATATATATATATATATATATATATATATATATATATATATATATATATATATATATATATATATATATATATATGTATATATATATATATATATATATATATATATATATATATATATATATATATATATATATATATATATATGTATATATATATATATATATATATATATATATATATATATATATATATATATATATATATATATACACACACATGCATATATACACATATATATATATATATATATATATATATATATATATATATATACATAAATGAATAAAATTGCTTTTGCCTTATTATTTTTCATTAAATTTCAAATTTTCAGTTATCAAAATAAATCAAATCAAATATATTCTGAATAAAGTTGACACATCAAGGTTATTTACAAATAGTAACCTGTAAAATTTAATACTAATAAAATGATGCTTATATTATTTGTATCATTTTATTATTATTAAAGTAATATTAATAATAATTATAATGCAATTAGGAGTAAATAAAAATAATAGTTACAATAACAGCGATTAAAAGTAATAGTAAAAATTATAAAAAGTATACACTATACTATTTTAATAATAATAATAACAAAAATAACAGTAAAAATAACAACAACAATAATAATAACAACAACAGTAATATACAAAAACAGTAATATAAACAAAAACAGTAATATAAAAAAAAAATTATGGCAATATTAATAGCAGTAAGGATCATAATATAGTAATAATAATATTAACAATTTTAGTGATGAAGAGAAAATACTTCAGTTTAAGAAATATTAAAATAATAAATAACTGGTTATTTATACATTATAACATTCACAATTTTTTAGAAAAATATTGCTTTTAAATTAAATATAAAAATATTAAAACACAACAGTGATGTGTTTTAATTTTTTTTTTTTTTTTTGTTAAATTTAATAAGTTTAGCAAAAAATATCAAATCACAACAGAAAAGAAAAAAATTAGATAAATAGAAGCTCAGAATTATGGTTATAAATAATAAGTTGAATGAAAGTATGAAATTTATAAGCAATGTTTTTCTAAAAAGTAGTTAATGAGAGCAGTTTTAAAATTTGAGAATGACTTACATTTATTACATGACAAATTCAGTATTAAAATTTTAACAAAGAAATCGCTCGAAATTAAAATTTACCAAGAAATATGCACTTAATTAAAATAAAAGAATTTGTATTAAGTTTTAAGTCAAGGTAAATACTTTGAAAAGTTCTAAACCATAGGTTTCTACAACTAAATATTCATCTCTCTGGATCTTCAACAAAAATTTTCATAGGTCGCTCCTTAGGAACATTTATCGCCTGTAAACGTTTCGGCTGTTGAAATTTATCGGTAATTTTGAAAATTTTTTTATAACATTGAAACAAATCATTTACGCCAATAAAATTTACAGCCTGTAGCATTTTACGCCGATAAAAAGTTTTATAACATTGACCCCTGGAGTATGTTATTAGCCTACGTAAAACTGAAATACTTCTTTCACATTCACAAGTTGTTATTGGAACTGTTCCTAAAATTATAAATGCTGTCCTTATATTTAGAAAACCTCTCATGTCAATGGACTTTAAAATACCAGCAACAGTTGAGGGAATACTTGACTGGTTTTTCCAAAATAATTCCCATAAATCTAACTCAGCATGTATTGAAGTAAAATGAGGCATATCAGATAAATAGAAATTTAAAAATTCATGAAAAACAAATTTCCATAGTTTTTTAACTTGTATTCTGGACAGTACAGTTGAAGGAACTGCTGCTAGACCTTTATAAACAAACATGCCATTTTTTGGAAACCTATTATCTAGCTCATTAATAAGATGTTCAATTAATGGAGAAGTAATGCTATGTTTAAAATAGTCACAAACTGTATTTGTTGGATAATTATCCCGGTAAACCTGGACATTACACAATCTAGGTCTCACTTCTTGTATATCAAGAGTTTTGGCCAAACTAAGAGCGATAGCGTACCATTCAGTGTGATATATATCAATTTTATTTTTAATTTCTAATAACAGATTTTTTAGATTAGTTATTTCAAAACAAAAGATTTAGTTTGAAGAGTTACAGTAATTGCATAAAAAAAAATCTATTCATTGTTTTGTAATAACTAAACTTACAATAAAAGAGAAATCTGTTAATAATTTTAAAAAAGAAGAGAATTTGGAAGCAATTTCACTGTTATATTCCTTTGACTCATTTAACCCCATCTCCTCTAAAGCATGAATAATAGGTATAAAATTATCAAAAAAAACACATCAAGACCTCTCAACTTTTGAACCCATCATGTTCGACACGTATCTATTATTTTTTCTTAATTTGGACTTAAATATTTTTTGAGACAGTTACTACGTTTAGGAGATAAGTTAAAAAAATAAGAAATTTCTTTTACTTGGCCAAGAAGATTTTTTACTTTTTAAACTTGGAAAGCAGCTGCTACTACTATACTAAGTCTATGGCTTGCACAATGAACAAATATAGCTTTATGATTTAGAGCTTTTATTCGAGAAACAACTGCTTTATATTCACCAGCCATACAACCCGCATCGTCATACCCTTGGCCTCTACAATTTTGAATATCAAGTCCAAACTCTTGAAGTGCATTAAGTACATTTAGAGATAGACTGAGCCCAGATGTACCAGTCTTGCAATCAATAAGTCTTAAGAAATCCTCGCAAATCTCATTATTTGAATTTACATATCTTAAAACAAGTGACATTTGTTCAGTATTTGAACAGTCAACTGCTTTATCACAAAGAATTGAATAAAAAATTGAATGCTTTACATTTTTTATTAAAACTTCCTCAATTGCTTTCCCACAAGAATCAATAAGTTGGTTTTGGGTAGTTTTTGATATATAGGTTGCATTTTTTAGACTTGAAGAAAGATGATTAGCTAATAATTGATCACCAGCATCAACACAAAAATTTAAAAGCTCTATGAAGTTACCAACTCACACTTTTTGTGTAGAAGATTCCCCAATATCAGGATAATATTTGTTATCATCACGATAACTACGAAACGCTAGATCGTTTCTACCAAGAAATATTATTGTTTTAATTATTAGAACTAATTTTTTTCGGTTATCAGAAAGTAGTTTCAAACAAGAATTATTTAAATCAACCTCAATAACATTACTTTTGGAGTTGCAACGTGAAAGCAATGTATTAAATGAAAGCATAAATTTTTCATCTAAAACACAACTTTCCTCATGTTTTCTATAATCACAAACAGCATTACCCCACTCTTGATGGGGCTTGAAAACTAAATTTAATATTCAAGACTTATTTGGAATACTAGCACTTAGCAAAGTACAAGGAAGACTGTAAGCTCTATCTTCTTTGCTAGAATAAGCTAACCAAGAAAACTGGCTGAGCCATTCAAATTTAAATGATCTTTTTGTATTAAAAGATATTGGAAAAACAAACATAGAATAGGACAAAATACTTTGTTTACCATATCTAACAAAATAGAATCATCTTTGCCAGCGGTTAAAAGTTTACCCTGAACAAGATATGTTAAAACATTATACAAAGAATTTAATTCATTATATGAAAGAATAATAACTGAGTTGGAGTCTAATTACTTAACTATTTTTGAATCTACAGAAGGTTCAAAAGGTAACTCTATGGAAGCATTATCTTTTTTAAAGTTAATTTTAGATTGAATTTTGACATGTTTTGCAGAATCAATTTTTTTTTTGTTTGTTTCAGTTTTAGGACTAAAAAAGTGTAAAGGATAAGTAGCATTGTTTTTTATAGCCAAATTTTTATTATTATTAGAAATTAGTTTAGGCTTTTTAATAATTGGTACAAAATGGTTTGGTGTCCAGTTATTATTGTTTTGCATTATTGACATAATATCAGTATTACACCATAAGATATTTAAAACATTCTGATCTTGATTTTTAATTGAACGAAATGAAAAAATGATTGTATTAAAAAGTTTTTTGAATTTTTCTAAGCCAAAATCAGGATAAATTGATCTAATAGGACCATTTAAACTGATGACAAAGCAATTAGACATAAAAGTGAAGAAAACTTGTTAGCTCGGCAGTTGATCAATGCTTCCATTATTATAATTTCAGAAGGTGATTCACTGTTAATTAATTTAAATTGATCTGAACATTCAAAAAAAACACAGGCTACTAGAACACTGGAAAGATTAGAAAAATTATTGTTTTCAACCTGTTTAACAAAAAGGGAGTACCTCGCATAGTAGGAAGCTTTTTCAAACAATTCAATCGAAGTTAGAAGCCTCAATACATTAACTGTCTTCAAAGACGAATTGCTTAAAAGAGAAGCTGAACTGTAGAGGCAATTTCAATCTTCAGATAACCTTAAATAAAATAAAAAGTATACTAAAACAAGCTCAGTTTATATTAAATACTAGCTGGAAATATAAAACACCATTAACTTTAATAATAGGGTTTTACCTTAAAGCAACATAATCTTTAGTATTTTCTTGCTTTGGGATAAAACGATCCATTTCAGTATTTTCAAAAGACTGACTATGTGGCTGAACTGGTTTCTTATTATTTAAAACTTTCAATTCTTCAGTCAACTGGTTTTTATATTTGCGAATATTTGGCAAATGTCTAGCCTTAATTGCATTTGAGACTGAAAAATTCATTTTTTTTAAAACTTTATTTTACAAGCAAAGTTCAACGACGAAAATTACGAGCAAAGAACGTATATCAGGTGGCATATCAGAATTTTGTAAAATTTGAACGATTTGGGGCAACTGATAAAATTATTCTAAACTTTCTACAAATTTGATTGCTTCACAACTACTTTAATAACAGAACAACATATGGGCATAACCTAAGATCAGTCACCTATAACAAAAAAAAATTGTCTGATGGCCATGCTAAAGAAGCTACAAATAATGAAACAACCAGGAAGATATCTGTTGATCTTGAGACAATATGACACAGAGCATTAATTCCAATAGTATCCAGTCAGCAAATAATAGCTAAAATAAGAGATTACTATGACAAATATCGCTCACTTATGAAACCGTTTAAACAGAGGTCCAAGGATAAGGAGTCACAGTACCTGAACAAAATTGAAAACTTCAATATTGACTCAAATCGAATTTTTGATATTGCTTCATGTAAATGTAAAGACTTTTCGTCATGTGCTTGTGAAAAGAATCGTAAAGTTCCACCAAATGAAATAATATTTCTTGCAGATCAAAGAACAAAAAGGAAAATGGCTTTTGGCAACGTTGATATTAAAACAACAAAGCAGCAGGAAAAGACACTGAAAATAAAACTTGCAGATGAATTGAGATTTTATAAATGTAAATCAATAACAAATGCTAAAACTTTGAAATCGCATCCAGATTGTAGCTTTGAGGATGATTGTAATGATGTCACGTTAGGTGATTTAGACGAAGCTATCACCGAAAGTAATGAAGATGTTGACTTCATGACAGACTTTCTTAAGTCACCATCATCAACTAATAATACAAGCTCACAAGAAATTTTGAACTCTCAAATGAGAACTCCACTACCAACATTAGCTCGTGAATGTAATCGATGGGGAGTATCGGATCGCTCAGCTGCAGTATTAGCATCGGCTGTTTTGGTTAATTATGGCTTTATTAATAATATGATTAATGATGTTATTGACCCAAGTAAAATTCGTAGAGAAAGACAGAAAAAGACAAAAAATTTACAAGCTGGTGCTGCCAAAACATTGGAAGGGTTATATTTTGATGGTCGAAAGGACAAAACTTAAAGCCAGATTAAAGGAAACAGATATCATCCAGCTTTGGAGACCAAGGACCACGTTGTGTTAATAAAGCAGCCTGGTTCTGAATACCTGGAACATCTTAAAACATCACAGGGACCTTCACAAAGTATAAAGATTAGCATTACATCATTTTTGAATGTAAACGCTATTGATACCAGTTCATTGGTGGCAATCGGATGTGATGGCACGAATGTGAACTCCGGTAATATTGGTGGTGTTATTCGACTTCTCGAGCTTTGTTTCAGCAAATTTCTACACTGGTTTGTATGTTTATTATATATGAATGAGTTACCATTGAGACATCTCCTGATTAACCTGGATAGATCTACATATGGGCCAAAGTCAATTAGTGGTCCAATCGGAAAATTATTAAAGAATATAGACTTGCCAATTGTCAGTTTTCAACCAACCGAAGGAAATGTGTTGTCCAGCATTGATGCAGATAATCTCAGTACAGATCAAAGGTACTTGCATGAAATGTGTTAAGCAATATCCAGTGGCCAATTTAGTTTTGAATTGAGTAATCGAAAACCGGAACCCATGTTTCATTCTCGATGGATAACAACTGCTAGTCGTATCCTCCGGTTATTTGTATCTACAGAAAAGCCAGACAAAAACTTGATCATTCTTGTAACTTACATACAAAAGGTATATGCACCTATTTGGTGATAATATTGTAAATTTGATAATTGCCTATCGAGCTCAAGAAAATTGTTGATCCTGTAATCCAAAGAAATGCATACTTTGCTCACCCAGAAAACTTATCAATATCAATGGCAACCAATGAAAGGCCCCACATTCGTCAATTAGCACTAAGACGTGTATTGGCTGCATGATCGATATCCGACAAGACCGATGCTAAACCTACAGTTAGATTGTTCAAGATACCACCGCTAAACTTTGAAGCAACAGATTATACAGACATAATTATCTGGTCATTAAATAAAGGTGCTGATCCTCCAATGCTCAGATCAATTGAATAGTCTCAGCTTAAAAACAGCATTCTGACCTCAGAAATGCTACAATTTAAAAGCTTTCCATGCCACATTCAGTCTGTAGAAAGAAGCGTGAAGCTAGTCACTAAAGCCAGTATGGCAGTCTGTGGACCTCAGCGTGATGGTTTTATTCGTGCAAGAATAGAGCCGCGATCAGCTATGAAAGTCTTTAACACAAAATCTGATTTCAGCCTTTCAAAATGACGTTCTTAAAATGATTAACTGACAGAAAATAAACTTGAAATAATTGTTATTCTTAATTTTTGTGGCACCTCAAAATTCTACAATTTACATAAATATATTTTCATTAGGTTCTGATATGATGTTAAAACCATCATACAAGTATATTATAATAGAAATCAAAAAACAAGATCAGTTTATTTTTAGCCATTGATTTTTTTGTAAAAATATGGATTTAATAATAAGTGTAATTTCTAACTTTTTGGGGATTTTGGGGGATTTTAAAGTCCTTGTGGCACCTCAAGATAATTTACCAGAGCATTGCAATTTTTACAGAGTATTTCTGATATGAATAGACAACTTTTGGACACCCAGGCAAAATTAATTTCAATCAAAAAAAAAATTTTCTTAATTTTTTTCCGTAGGTCACTTTTTCGGGATTTCAAAGTCCTTGGGGCACCTCAAGATAATTTTCTAGAGAATTGAAATTTTTACAGAGTATTTCTGATATGAATAGACAACTTTTGCACACCCAGGCAAAATAAATTTCAAAAAATTTTTTTTCACTGCACCCTACTGAGCAACACTGACGCTAGATATCTTTTAAGGTCCTCACCAATAACTAGCATCTTTTACAAATATTTTTAAAGCTATTGTGGACGATGTTGAACAGACTAAAACATTTTGAAACATTGTAAATGACAGAACAAAATGTAACTTTTAACTTTTTTGGTCTCAGTTTAAGACTTTTGAAAAAGTTTTTATATATCCTTGTTTTGAATCAAATCAAATTGAACAGAAAAAATGACATTTAAGTTTCAAATATGGCGCGGATCAACTAATGAATCATCTCTGCAGTAATTACTCAAAAATATTTAATCAAAGGATTGAGGACGGTCAAAGACTGTAGAACTGTAAATTTGACAGGAAACACTTGTAGAAAATTAAGTTGGCTTTTTATTAGAATTCATTTATGTGTTAGAACCTAATGAAAAAAATGTTTTTCTATTGGCAAGGCATCAAAGAAAAAATTTTGAGTGCAGTAAAAAAGAATCTATGGAATGCTGTTTTTTTTCTAATATGAGCAGTGGCGGTTAAAGTCAACAGAGAGACCTAAACATTAAACGGAACTGCACTACTTCAAAATTTTAGCAGGGTGACCCTTCCTTCTAAGTTGCCAGTAACTTAAAAGTTTTCTTTGGTAGTTAAGTTTCTCCAAAAAGCCGTAAAATTCTCATCATAGAACACAGAGGAGGAGCATTTATCTAGAAAGTTTTCTTCCCTTCCAATGACGGTTATTGGGTTAGAGCCGGCATTGTACCTCCTCGTTCTGAGTTATAATTATTATCACTGCGCCACGGTTGCTGTTTATAAAAAGCCACGATAAATAAAAATTTATGTTCATTTTATATAAAACGATAACAAATGTTATCATTTTTAGATAATATACTAACAAATATTTGATTTCCTAATATATCAAGCATTTTTCTGATTTAGATGACAGTTTCTTGATTTTTTCCCCATGTTCAGGTGATTTTCTAGAGAAAACTCTAGTTTTCAAGTAAGAGTTATACTGCCACATCAGGGATTACTAAAACCATACATTCATTTTTATGTAGTCACTTATTTAATGTAGTGGACAGGACAGGATCGACGGAAAAAAAAGTAAAACAATTAAGCTATTAAACAATAGCATAATAATCCATAAATATATTTAGCTCTATTATTTATAAAAAATAAAAAATGCGAATTAAAAAATATTGGCTGCACATTCATTTTATATTAGAAAGACAATAAATTTTACAAAACAATATTTAACAAAAACGAAGGAAATGCAAAAGAGTAAGAAAAGCCAATTTACTATGCGAAACATAAATTTTAATTTTGGAACAAAGAGACTGATATTGTTACATTAACTATGCACAAAATATAATACACAACCAGCCATATAATAAAGGCCAGCATTCATCTGATCATTTAAAAACTAATTGTCTTTTATTAATTATCACATATATAAATAATACCATCTTTCATCAGGTCGATCTCAATTTATGCTAGAGCAATGTCAGTTTCTTCAACGAAGTTTAAAAAATAATTTCAACCGTTGAAGTCAATTTATTAAAAAGTAAAATGTTTTTT